CATAAAATCCTCTCGCTTACTTTGCAACATACACAACATACCAAGAACAAAATCCAGAAACCTACACATTTCGCCGAACTAAACCCCGTTAACGACAACAATTAAAGAAGCTAACTCCTTGGCCCGTTAATCATATATACTTTCCGGCACCACGATCCGTTGATCCGACCCTTTTAGCGATCATTGGGTCTATTCGGGGCTATACCACCGGTTATTTTTGCTTATTTCCATAAATAAGGTATTAGATGATTGGGATGAAATAGAACAATATTCTATAGCGTCCCGTTCCTACAACTACTCTGGATTGATTCTGGTCTTTTAACTCTTATCTCATTCAGTATTGCCTATTAACAATGAAACTCTCATTATCTACGTAATACATAGATTTTTCTTGCTTTCGTGTTTGTTCTTCGACAATGGCGAATGCTCTAACGACATCTCGGGGAAGCTTACGATTAATATAAGGGATATTTTACGGTGGGGTCGTGGGGGGGGGTTTTGGGGGGAGGAGAGACGTGGGTAGTCGGTATGTGGTTAGTATTTTTCGTTTCTTTGTTTTTGTTTTTTCTTCATTTTTGGATACTTATCGTGTGTCATTATATTTAGGGGATGTAGTAGATTCTCATTGTTAAGTTCAGGTTCTCTTTTGATTTTTTCTTGTTTGCTGCTGGTTTATTGTATCTTTAATATGGGCAATGGCGAGTTGTTTTTGTTTTTTAGCCGGATTGTTGAGAATATTGCCGTGACATTTTTTTCTTATTTAAAATTTTTCTTTTTCTTTTTTTTTTTTTTTCTTTTTACTTTCTTTCTCTCTGCTCTTCTTTTCTCTTTCTTTCTCCCTCTCCCTCTCTCTCTCTCTCTCTCTCTCTCTCTCTCTCTCTCCTCTCTCTCTCTCATCTCTCTCTATTCACGTATGACTATTCCCCAAACATCTTTCATTTTTTTTTTTCAAATAGTCGGCTCTGATTTAGTTAAAAAAAAAAAAAAAAAAAAAAAAAAAAAAAAAAAAAAAAAAAATATTTAGTAAAAAAAAAAAAAAAAAACTGAATTTAGTTTAAAAAAAAAAAAAAAAAAAAAAAAAAAAAAAAAAAAAAAAAAGATAACACAAACAGATAAAATCAACCAAACAAAATCGGAGATTTAAGTTTGATTATGACGTGAAAAGAAAAAACTTTCCCCTGCGAATCCCTGAACCATTTGTCAAATCACTTACGGAACGCCAATCCAGAGATAAGAAACATTTTGTTTAAGACGTCGGGGAGACAGCACTTACCCGACGTATTTGCATATCATAAAGAACATTAAAACACATTAACATCCTGCACACCCTTTTCCTCCCTTCCTCCTCCTCTTTCCTTCCCCTCCTCTCCTCCTCTCTTTACCTCCCTCCTTTTCTTTTTCTCCCCACCCCCTCCCCCCCCCCCCCTCACCTCTTTCCTCCCAACCCCCCCTCCTCCCTTCCTTATTCCCTCCCTCCCTCCTTCTTCCTCTTCTCCTCCCCCTCCTCCTCCTTCCCTCCTCCTCTTCACCCCCATCTTCCCTCCTACCTCCTTCCTCTTCCACCCCCCCCCCCATCGATAGCAATTCCAGAAGCGAATCTCATTTCCAAGACGACCTAAACCCGCCCCAGAACCCCCACCCCCCCCCCCTCCCGTTCCCGCTCCTGAAGAAACCCCGATCTGGGTGTTTGTTTACGTTATACCCTTGGGACAAGCGCCCCCCCCCCCCCGCGCCACTTTCTTTCGGCCGCAAGAGGTCTCCGCGGCGTGGCGTTTGCGGTGGCGCCGACTCCCTCCTCTTTGTCGCGCGACTCCATAAAGTATCCTGATTCTGTCGGCTGAATTCCCCTCAAAATGCACGACCACCAAGAAGGGACTTTCTCCGCTTCCCTCAGAACGTCCAGATGTGGAGGATTCCCGATGACACGTGGGGGGCTAAGGTTAAGGGTCATATTAGGGCGGCCGGGAGTGACGTGGTGATCCTTACGGGCGTCGCATCCGTAGCGGAGTAGTTCGCTTTCTCGCGATTCTGTTCATCTTCTATGGGGGGACTGATGGGCAGCGGCGACCTTGCAACAAAGGATATCCGACCGTGGAAAGGACTGCCGTAGGGTTGGTTATCGCGTGCCTCCGCCGACCGTTTCCTCGATATCAGGTGAGGTCGAGGAGGTAACCTCTTTTGGCAGATGAGACCCGAGGAAAAGTACCTGGTTTCAATACCTGTGACACCATTTGCCGTGTTGCATAAATTCCCCCTTGTTTCATTTAAGTGGTGAAACCTCTCCATGCCAAAAAAAAAAAAAAAAAAAAAATCACAACAGTAAAACAATATCTTCCCAGAATGTACAAAAAAAATGAAGACGTTAGCGATACGTGAGTAAGAGAAAAAGTGACTGGCAACGTGAATACCCTCTGCCCAATCCAAGATGGCGGAGAAAGGCAGGTATATAAAGCGCGCCGCGCGTGAGCCACTAGTAACTATAAGCCATCAGTGTGAGTGGGGTGTTTGCGCCTTAGTTCCCGCTCTCAGCTCACTGACTGGAAACCCTCTACGCTCACG